GCGACATGGTATTAGGTTCCTCTCTAAATATATTTGTCTCTGCGATGTCTTCTTTTGTGTCCACCTGACAGACATTTAAATCTATATTTATCAACAACCAGGAAGTAAATTACAGCCTCGCTTTAAACTCACAGGTGTAAATTCATTCAAAATGGCAGATTAATAAAGTCACCTTGGAGATAAACAGTAAGTTAAATTATTGTAATGCTTCAATGATCAATTTATTGTTTCATTAAGATGCAAGAGTTTTTTTTATGAACTGTGAATTTTTTTGGTTGCAAGATCAAACTAAGTTGACTCATTTCAATACTTATGATAAATTTTCAGTATGTTTCTTGAACAAAAATCCTCTTCAAAATACTCTCACTGTATGATTTCAATGGTAGAAAGTGCACAGGAAATCTCTTCATGTCAATAGAATTAAAACAAGAGGCCCATGGGCCACATCACTCACCTGAGCACATCGGCTAGGAGAATGCACAAATCAGATCAGAAATGAAACATTTACTGAGATGGTGTGGTGGGGTGGGAGGGGGGGAAGCTTGAATTCTAATACTACTTGAGAATGCCTCCATATCAATTCTGCAATTGACTTATAGAGAGTTCTTGAGAAGAAGATTTTTAAAGATTTTTCCTATATATTCCTATGTAAAACTTTGATCGGCCATTGTGCCCCACCCTACCCCCGGGGGACATGATTTGAAAAAACTTGAATGTACACTATCTGAGGATGATTCAACATGAGATTCTGTCCCGATGGTTCTTGAGAAGAATACTTTTAAAGATATTGTCTATGTATTCCTATGTAAAACTTTGATCAGCCATTGTGGCCCCTACCTATTCCTGGGGGTAATGATTTGAAAAAAAAAATAAATGTACACTATCTAAGGATGATTCAACATGAGTTTCATCTTTCCTGTCCCAATGCTTCTTAAGAAAAATATTTTTAAAGATTTTTCATATATATATCTATGTAAAACTTTGATCGGCCAGTTTGGTCCCACCTTTGCACGCCACTGGGGTCATAATTTGAACAAACTTGAATGTACATAACTTGAGGAAGACTCAACAGGAGTTTCATCTTTCCTGTCCCTATGGTTCTTGAGAAGATTTTTTAAAGATTTTTCATATAAATTCCTATGTAAAACTTTGATCGGCCATTGTGGCCCCACCCTATCTACACTACCTGAGGATAATTTCACATGAGTTTTTTTTTCCTGTCTCAATGATTCTTGGGGAGAAGATTTTTAAAGATTTTTACCTATATAAAACTTTTAACGGCAATTATGGCCCCACCGTACCCCCGGGGGTCATGATTTGAATAAACTTGAATCTACACTACCTGAGGACGATTTCACTTGAGTTTTATCTTTCCTGTCTCAATGGTTCTTGAGAAGAAGATTTTAAAAGATTTTTTCCTATATATTCCTATGTAAAACTTTGATCGGCCATTTTGGCTCCATCCTACCTCCGGTGGTCATGATTTGAACAATTTTGAACCTACACTACCTGAGAATAATTTCATATATAAGTTTTATCTTTCCTGTCTCAATGAATCTTGAGAAGATTTTTAAAGATTTTTTCCTACATAAAACTTTAACGACCATTATAGCCCCACCCTTGCCCCGGGGATCATGATTTGAACAAATTTGAATCTACACTTCCTAAGGACGATTTCACTCGCGTTTTATCTTTCCTGTCTCAATGGTTCTTGAGAAGAAGATTTTTAAAGATTTTTCCCATATATTTCTATGTAAATCTTTGATCGGCCATTATGGTCCCACCCTACCCCCGGTGGTCATGATTTGAACAAACTTGAATTTACACTACCTGAGGACGATTTCACATGAGTTTTATCTTTCCTGTCCATGGTTCTTGAGAAGAAGATTTTTAAAGATTTTTCATATATATTCCTATGTAAAACTTTGATCAGCCATTTTGGCCCCATACCCCCTGGGGGTCATGATTTGAACAAACTTGAATCTACACTACCTGAGAATGATTCCACATGAGTTTCATCTTTCCTGGCCCAGTGGTTCTTGAGAAGATTTTTAAAGATTTTTTCAACATATCATACTCCTATGTAAAACTTTGATCGGCCACTTTGGACCAACCCTACCTCCAGGGGTCATGATTTGTACGAATTTGAATATACACTACCTGAGGATGATTCCACATGAGTTTCACCTTTCCTGTCCCTATGGTTCTTGAGCGGAACATTTTTTAAAAATGCCATTAATTTTTCACTAATTCATAATTATCTCCCCTTGGAAGAGGGTGTTGCCCTTCATTTGAACAAACTTGAATCCCCTTCACCCAAGAATACTTTGTGCCAAGTTTGTTTTAGATTGGCCCAGTGGTTCTTGATGGAAGATGAAAATGTGAAAAGTTTACAACGACAACAACAAAAACGACTACGACGACAACGACAACAACGACAGACAACGGACAAATTTTGATCAGAAAAGCTCAATTGGGCCTTTGGCTCAGGTGAGCTAAAAAGAAACAAATATTTGAATACATCTTTCCTTCAGCATTAAATTTTTCAAAGAAATAATACTTTTAACACTCTTTCAGATGGCTCTGTCAAAAACACAATTACCAGGTACACCTCAGCACTTTCTAGAGTGTGGTGTTGTAGACTGTGAGAGAAACTGTGAATTCTATTGCAACCTTTGTCACACAAGATTATGTAAACAATGCAGCTATGAACATCAAAGAAGTTCAGAAACAGAAAGCCATGAGATAGTCCTATACCAACAACGAAAACGACAACTGCCCACAGAAAAATGCAAGATCCACCCCACCAAGGATATAGAACTTCTTTGTGAAGAATGTAAAATCCCTATTTGTTCCAAATGCACTGCCACGTCAGCACATAGAGGTCACACATTCACTGATCTGGAATCAATTTATACAGATAAGTTTTCTCATTGTCAAGGAGAAATTGCAAAAATTCATGATTATTTCTTGCCAACATCTAAAGATTTACAGAAAGAAATTAATGGAGATATCACAGAAGTCAAGAAGATAATTGACAACATAAGAACCTCCATGAAGGCTGAAGCAGAGTCCATTAAAAGTCTGGTGGATAAAGTGACATCTGAAAATATGGAAGAAGTGAACAAAATAGAGCAGTCATTACTGGAAAAATTGAATGATCAAGAAACAACGATTGAAAAGTATATTGCCTATCTCAATGACCTGGATAAAAAGTTCCATGTTTATTTGTCCTCTTTAAAACCCACAGAACTTTTCACTGCAGAGGATATGAAAATTGAATGCATACCAGAAACAACAAAACCAGTGATGCCCGTATTTACTGCTGGAAAGTACAACAAAGAGGATATTGCCAAATTACTGGGAAAAAAAACTTTTCCAAACATGAAAGAAGAGATGAGAAAAGTACAGCCCCTGAAAGAAAAAAAATCTACATCATATCTGAAAGCAACAAGCTATCAAGTAATGAAGGACAGTAAACTAACATCTAATATGAAACAAACACTGTCTCTAACTTCCTCTGTCACTGAGGTCAGGAAGTTCACAGTACCAGGTGTTGGCAATGTATGGCATATGTCACTAGATCAGTCAGGCAGACTCTGGATCAGTGATATTGCTGGTAACCTTGTCCAAACAGATCTACAGGGGAATCAGCTACAGAAGATACAAACCAGCAGTATATATGGTTACCACACGGTGACACAGGATGGGGATCTGATCTTTACAGACAAAAACAAGACAGTCATCAATAGGATAACATTGGATAACAATATCACTGAAGTCATTAAAACAGGAGACTGGGTACCACTCAGCATACACTCATCCCACATCAATGGGGACCTGCTAGTGGGGATGAGGAAGATTGGAGAGAGTAAAATCACCAGGTACAATAAGACAGGGAAACAACTACAGAACATACAGAGGGATAACAAAGGACAGGAACTGTATACGGCACCATACTATATAACAGAAAACATCAATGGAGATATCTGTACATCGGATCTTGCTAAAATGGCAGTAGTGGTGGTGAATAAATCAGGACAACATAGATTCTCCTACAAAGGTCAGGGGTCAAGTTTCAATCCCCATGGAATCTGTGCTGATGTCCTTGGTCACATACTTGTGTGTCATCTGCTGAATATTCACATCCTTGATCAGGATGGTCGGTTCTTAACTCTTCTCACTCCAAAACAAGTATCCAGTCCTATTTCTGTATGTCTGGTTGATGAGAATAATCTTTATGTGGGAGAAGCTAACAAAACAGTTAATGTCATTAAATATCTCCAATCAATGAACACAGAATTCATATGAGCCATTTTTCACTTGAAGTTTGTTTATTTTCATTTGTACTCTGTATAACTGAGGATATTTAATGTATTATTTTATCAAAATATATAGGTGTTTAGGATTTAGAATCAAAGAAATTCTGCAGATTTTAGCATATGTAAATTATGTAGAATAATATACATGTATACTGAAAGGAAAAAGAAACGCATAAGAACATAATATGTGAATTTTTTTTACTATGTGACCGAATTTAAGAATTTTGCTCAGCTGTGTATTTTGGTTACTTTGCACAATCATACTGTACTCATTTTTAGCTCACCTGAGCCGAAGGCTCAAGTGAGCTTTTCTGATCAAAATTTGTCCGTTGTCTGTCGTCGTTGTCGTTGTCGTTGTTGTCGTCGTAAACTTTTCACATTTTCATCTTCTTCTCAAGAACCACTGGGCAAATTTCAACCAAACTTGGTACAAAGTATCCTTGGGTAAAGGGGATTCAAGTTTGTTCAAATGAAGGGCCAGGCCCTTTTCCAAGGGGAGATAATTATGAATTAGAGAAAAATTAATGGCATTTTAAAAAAATCTTCTTCTCAAGTACCACTGGGCCAGGAAAGATGAAACTCATGTGGGATTATCCTCAGGTAGTGTAGATTCAAATTTCTTCAAATCATGACCCCCGGGGGTAGGGTTGGGCCAAAATGGCCGATTAAAGTTTTAAATAGGAATGTATAGGAAAAATCTTTAAAAATCTTCTTCTCAAGAACCACTGGGCCAGGAAAGATGAAACTCATGTGGAAGCATCCTCAGGTAGTGTAGATTCAAGTTTGTTCAAATCATGACCCCCAGGGGAAGGGTGGGGCCAAAATGGCCGATCAAAGTTTTACATAGGAATATATAGGAAAAATCTTGAAAAATCTTCTCAAGAACCACTGGGCCAGGAAAGATGAAACTCATTTGGGATCATCCTCAGGTAGTGTAGTTTCAAGTTTGTTCAAATCATGACCCCCGGGGGTAGGGTGGGGCCAAAATGGCCGATCAAAGTTTTACATAGGAATATATAGGAAAAATCTTTAAAAATCTTCTTCTCAAGTACCACTGTGCCAGGAAAGATGAAACTCATGTGGGATCATCCTCAGGTAGTGTAGATTCAAATTTGTTCAAATCATGACCCCCGGAGGTAGGGTGGGGCCAAATTGGCCGATCAAAGTTTTACATAGGAATATATAGGGAAAATCTTTAAAAATCTTCTTCTCAAGAACCTTTGGGTCAGGAAAGATGAAACTCACTTGGAATCATCCTCAGGTAGTGTAGATTCAAGTTTGTTCAAATCATGACCCCGGGGGAAGGGTTGGGCCAAAATGGCCAATCAAAGTTTTACATAGGAATATATAGGAAAAATCTTTAAAAATCTTCTTCTCAAGAACCACTGGGCCAGGAAAGATTTAACTCATAAGGAATCATCCTCAGGTAGTGTAGATTCAAGTTTGTTCAAATCATGACCCCCTGGGGGGTGTAGAATTCAAGCGCCCCCTCCCCCTAGTTTACTTTCAGTTCTGATCTGATCTGTGTTTTTTCCTAGCCAATTGCTCAGGTGAGTGATGTGGCCCCTGGGCCTCTTGTTTCACCTAAAATTGACAGAATATCTCTTATCTAATTTGGTCTGCGAGCTTGGCAACTTTAACGTAGATTTTACTCTCACACGCGTCGTTTACGTAATGTTTTAGCATGTTGATACTGGGAAAATGTAGCCAGTGTTTGTCTAGACTTTCTTACAAACATTCACGTGTACATGTACCAAACCAGATGGATTCTGTAATTTATCCTATATCGAAAATTCGTGGGATTCATCGGGCGGGGGGATTTGTTAGCTTTAGATTGTCGCAGCTACTCTCAACCATTAAGACTACTGTTGGTTGAGTTTAATTCTAATCTTATGAGAAAGATAAATATGGCTTGCCAAATTCTCAAAAATGAGCTAAACATAGTTTAACACTTGATAAACTAGGTTTATCGACTGTAAACTATATTTTACAAACCGTAAACTTTAGTTAACAATTCGTAAAGATTATCGCGTTAATTATGGTTTGCAGATGTAAAATACAGAGATTAACGTTCCTAACTATAGTTTACAGTCCGTAAACTATAGTTTACAACTGATAAACCTAGTTTATCGACTGTGAAACCATGTTTAGCTCATTTTTGTGAATTTGGCGTGCCATAGATACAATGAAGCGCGTAGAAGTGGTAAAATTTTCCATCTGAACGAAACGTTGTGAGTCATGTTTTGAACGTCAATTATAACATAACTACACGCCCATTTCTTTAGAAACGAGAAAGGAATATTCGTCGTAATGTTTTAGGACACTACACATTCCGCGACAAGCAACATGAGTTACACTGAAATGAAGATTTTTAAATAAGAAAGACTTATGTATATAGAGTTCCCGCTTATGTAAAACACGCATTGCAACGGATTTGTACATAATTATGATTTTATTATGTTGATTGGAGTTACTATAACACATGTAACAGTCGAACACGTGCTTAATCGGTGTTTATGTTAACCATCAATTTCATTGGCTATTATATTTATGAAATACCTGTTCTACAGCAATCGCAACTTCTCGGGCCTTTCCGACTAGCGGAAAAACGACCTCGAATGTATATGGTAGACGCAATTACAACCCTCCCTTTTCACGATCTTTGAAATAAATGCATGGAGACCTTTTATCTGTGGAATATGGAGTTTAACTTTATTCAATGTAATGATATTACCTACAACATACTATAGAAGGGACTTCTAACCCAGTCTATCTAATATTTGAATAAACAGAAAATGTATAAATTTTTAACATCCGGTGATGTTAATACATTCGAGGTTGTTTTTCCGACCTCTGACGGAAAGACCCGAGATGATGCGATTGGTTCTACAGGTATTCGATTGAATCATTTGACCGAATTTTCCTTTCTAAAGACATGGGCGTGTCTAAAGATAGCTCAAAACGTTCCATCCAAACAGAAAATTTTACCACTTCAATGCGCTTCATTGTAAATGCTCTGGTGAACTCAATGCACAGGAGAATCAAGGCTGTTACCGATACGCAAGGGAGAAGATGACAATTTAATTTTCGGGGGTATCAACATAAATTTCAATAACCCATAAATTATCAGTCAAAGTCACACAAAAATTTTGATAACTTGTTGATTAAAGATGAATTAAAATGTTTGATAACAATTTTTGAAAAAACATAGTCAAAATAATAGTTTTAATTTAAATCAAGAGTTTACTACGCGTTTCTTTTTCTTTTCAATTTCTTTTCAATATATATAAAGTGACTAACTGTCTGTATTTTTTTTTTAAAGTTGTGATCATCCAGTATGTTTTCAGGTAAATCACCATGATGCATAAAATTCAAGAAAAAGTGCATCACAAAGGCACAGGATACATCAATTAAATATTGTTCAATGAACATGAGCAGATTACAGTGCAAGGAGGAAAATCTTGTCAACCAAGATACAAAGATTACTTCCATCTGAACAGCTGCTAAATGTTTGAAAGTGTCTCCCCTGTGTTGTAGTAACTAATGAGAACAATTAATACATCAAATATCTAAACTGATTGTGTAAGAGTTTTACAAATGGCCATTTTTAGTTTCGTTACTTTTTTAAAAATAAAAATGAACAATGCTATGACATAATATAACATCAAGACAATAATCATTTTTATCTTTGACTGTAAAACTGTCCTCTTATTGAGATATATTACAAACAGCAATTTATTGTGGGGGTATATGAAAATCAAGAATTATGTTACTAGTATACAATGTCAATTTTATTTCATAATTTTTATTAATTTTGAAAGTAATGACTAGCAAATATAGAATAAGAATTATTAAAATTTGATAGATGCTTGCTTCATTCCTGTTTTATCTGAGACGCTATTACAGAAATCTTTTAACACTAAAATCATCAAATTAATATCCTGTTAGACAGTCAGACAGATGCTTTCATCTAAACTCTTCTTAAAACACTATTTATACCCCTGTTCCGAAGGAGAGGGGGGTATACTGTTTTACACTTGTGGGTCTGTCCGTCCGTCTTTCCGTCTGTCTGTCCGTAACACATTTTTGTCGCAGTTTTCTCGGTAATTACTCATCGCAGATTCTTGAAATTTGAAGACAATCTTTCTTATGCATGCCATATATTGGGATTAATTGTCCCCCGCTTGAAAAGTGGGGGATATTAATTTGGGTCTGTCCGTCCGTCTTTCTGTCTGTCTGTAACGCTTTCGTTTCCACACGATATCTCGAGAACCCTTTGAGCTTTCGCAATGAAAATTTGCAAAGAAACTCCCTATGGACTAAAGAAGAAACCTCTTGATTTTGAGGTCAAAAGGTCAAGGTCATAAATTCGAAAATTCGGTCTGTTATAACACTTTAGTTTCCGCGCGATATCTCGAGAACCCTTTGAGCTTTTGCAATGAATTTTTATATAACAACTCCCTTTGGCCTAAGAAAGACCCCTATTGATTTTGAGGTCAAAAGGACAAAGTTCAAGGTCGTAAATTTATGTCTTTCTGTATGAAACACTACCATTCCCGGGCGATATTTCAAGAATATTTTGAGCTTTTGCAATGTAATTTTATACAAAAACTCCCTTGGACCTCTCTCACTCCTCTCAAAGTGTCCCGTCCCGTTTGTTTTATTAGTATTCATTGTATGATATGTCGCTATTTTTAGCACAGGGGCATGGGGAGAGTTATTACGTATAAAACAGGTTCTCGGTGGACTTTATATTCTAATTACATCTATTAGAACTGTTTAATAAAGGTTAAATTAGACACCATGCATTGTGTAAAATTTTGACAATATCGAACGTAAATATATACATGTATGTGACTTCATCTTTGCATATATTTTTTCCTAAGTTAAAGCGGCTCCGTGGTCTAGTGGTATGTCTCTCGCTTCACATGTAAGAGGCACCGGGTTCGAATCCCAGATAATCCATTTTATTATACCCCCCGCTTGAAA